AGACAACACAACCTCATCAAATTTTTGATGCCATTGCTTGGGTGCTTGCTTAAGTCCATACAAAGATTTAATCAACTTGCAAACTTTATGCTCTTGGCCTTCCACAACAAACCCTTTCGGTTGTCGCATGTAAACCTCTTCTTCCAAATCTCCATTCAAGAATGCGGTCTTGACATCCATTTGATGGATCACAAGATTTTTAATTGCCGCAAGAGCCATTAAAAACCTTATAGTTGAGATTCTTGCAACCGGTGCATATGTATCAATAATCGATACCTGGCTTTTGTGTATAGCCTTGTGCAACCAACCGTGCCTTGAACTTATCTATAGTTCCATCAACCTTCAATTTCTTTTTGAAGATCCATTTGCACCCAATAGGTTTACATTTAGGAGGTAAAGTAGCTAATACCCAAGTGTTGTTTCCCATGATGGAGTCCATCTCATCATTAATTGCCTCCTTCCAAAATGGAGCATCATGAGACCTCATAGCCTCACTATATGTCATAGGATCATCTTCTACATTAAAAATGTATGGAAACTTAGTTGAAATCGATTGTCTTGATCCTTCAACTAAATACACATGAAAATCCGGGTCAAAGGATTTTTCTTTCCTTGCCCTCTTACTCCTCCTAGGTTGTGATGATGTAGATGGCTCATCTAAGTGAGCTTGGTCATCTACTTCTTGATCAAAATTAATTTGATCAAAACTTTGAGCTTCCGTACTTGGAGTGACATCTTTTTGTCTAGGAATTGATGAATATCTATTTTCATCAAACAATGCATCCCTAGACTCAATGGTGGTATGAACCGACCAATAATCATTTTGTTCTATCACATAGAACCTATAGGATTTGCTATGTTCCGCATATCCTATAAAAATGCATTCCACTCCTCTTTCACCTAACTTTTTACGTTTAGGTTCCGGCACTTTTACTATTGCTCTACAACCCCAAATTTTGAGATAACTCAAGTTTGGTTTCCTTTTGTGCCATAGCTCATATGGGGTTACCTCATTCCCTTTCATAGGAACTCGATTTAAAATGTAACAAGCCGTTAAAACGGCTTCCCCCCAAAATTCATCACTTAAACCCGAGTAGGACAACATGGAATTAACCATTTCTTGCAATGTCCTATTCTTCCTTTCCGCTACACCATTTTGTTGTGGTGTATATGTCGCGGTTGTTTCATGTATTAATCCTATTGATTGGAAATAACTTGGATTATAGTACTCTCCACCTTTATCAGTTCTTAGCCTTTTTATTTTACCGTTAGTTTGCAATTCTACTTCATTCTTGTAGATTTTAAACTTGTCAAGGGCTTCATCTTTAGAGAATAATAAATAAACATAACAAAACCTTGAATAGTCATCAATAAATGTTACCACGTATTTCTTATTCCCTAAAGAAGCAATGACGTATTTTGTCAACATGCATGTTCTACACTTCTCTACACTTGGATCAAAAGCTGGAATTAAAGCATGCTTAGACATAAATTGCATTTTTTTATAATTAACATGGCCAAGTCTCAAATGCCATAGAGAAGAGCAATCATTAACAACATACACATTATCTTTCAAAGTATTACAAATACTAAGTTTAAACATTCCATCACACAAGTATCCAAGTCCTACAAACAAACCACCTTTAGATAATACAAACTTGTCTGATTCAAACACTAATTTAAAACCTAAACGATTCAGGATAGCACCGGAGACAAGATTTCTCCTAAGCTCGGGAGCATACAACACATGCCTTAAAATAAGAGATTTTCCCGAACTAAATATTAGCTCAATTTGTCCCTTGCCTAGCACCTTAGCGGTAGAGTCATTGCCCATGTAGAGTATCTCTCCACCATCAACCTCCGTAAAGGTCTTGAACAATGATTTGTCCTTGCAAACATGCCTCGATGCTCCTGAATCGATGTACCACGAACAATCAACCTGCACACAATTGATTTCAGAAATCATACACACATAATCCATAAAAGAATTAAGTGAAACTTGTGTACAAGAATTACCTTGTTTCTCATGGGATTGGCTTGGCTCGCCTTTCCCATCTTGAGCTTGCTTCTTGCTCACTTTTTTCTTCCATAGGGTACAATCTTTCTTAAAGTGATCGGGTTTACCGCAACACCAACAAGCTCGTGATTTTTTACCATCACTATCCGCTTTGGGCTTCTTGCCCTTGTTTGTGTTTGAATTACTTCCCCTCTTCTTATTATTAGTCTTACCATCACCCACCATATTTATAGTAGATGAACTAGGATTACCATCCTTTTGACCATCTTGGATTCGGATTCCCTCTTCAATCCGAATGTGGGCTCCTAAATCCTCAAGACTAATAGATTCCTTCTTATATTTTAGGTCATTCCTAAAAGTCTTCCAAGAGTTCTGTAGTTTGTCAATGATAGAAGAGACAATAAAAGTCTCATCTAAATTAATGTTGTGTTGTCTATAGCTACCCAAAATACTTTGAATTTTATGGTATTGTTCCATAATTGATCTATCATCAACAATTCTAAAACTATTAAACTTGCTAACAAGAAACTTTTTACTTGAAGCATCTTCGGCCATATACTTGGCCTCTAGATCATCCCAAAGTATTTTAGCAGATTCACTAAATTGATAAACATCAAACAAGACATTAGACATACCGTTAAGTATATGATTACGACATATGTAATCATCATTTTCCCATTTGTTCCTCATACGAACGGCATCCAACGTCTCATTTTCCTCCTCCACCGGCTTCGGAGTTGAAAGAACGTAAGCCACACCAAGGGAAGTCAACAAGAAATGCATCTTCTTTTGCCATCTCCTAAAGTCCACACCTTCAAATTTCTCCAATTTCTGAAAATTGGTCATCATTTCCTTCACCGAAGACATCTTTGTAAAGAAAATTACACTTTTGGATTGTTGGGGATAATAGTAAACAAGGGAAATTACAAAGAAATATGGAAATGAAAACAGAGAAATTTATCTGAGTCGTGAACGGAATCACTTTCCCAAAAGTGTAATTTCGACCCTAATACTACAACCGGGTTTCACGAAAAATTCACTTAGGAGATAAAACGGAACAATTACAATTTGTTGTAGTCAAATTGTAATCACAATGATTCAAGTGGTTTTTATTTGTGATGATGAAAATATTGGGAACTTGCAATACGTTGTTAGAGAATGGAAACCAGAAAACTGACTTTTTCTATTGCTTTTTTCTCTTGGACGACTTTAATCATCATATATATGTATATATATATTAGAGCAACCAAACTTCCAAAAGGCATGATGCATGAAACATCAAGCGTCAAACATTGAATGCAACCGTCATTCAATTTTTTTTTTTATTATTATTTTTTTTTTAATTATAATTGTATACATAATACTCAAAAGCAAATAATATAACCGATCAAGAAATCAACGGTCACTTTAATTTCTTGCTTTTAGATTAAAACCTTTGACCCAATTTATACTACTTGCTCTAATACTTAATAAACCCAAAATGCTACACCATTACCTAAATAAATTAAGAGTATTAACATGAAAATAGTCTTAATACTCTAAATAATTCTACAGAAGGGAATTCATTGGAACAAATCCATTTGATGATATAAATAGTGGACAATGGTCTGAGTGTATCGCAGGGAAATGTTTCATCTTAGCTTGTTCGAATCTTAGTGCCCACTTATCATTGCAAAGAGCCCTATCTAATCTGGCACTTTGTCTTGTCTCCACACTATTTCCTCTTGACCAAGTATGCGCAGCTCCTATAAATTCCACCTCAAGCAAATCTAGATCATCAATCCAGTTATTAAATAGGGATGAACGTCTCGTAGTTTCTCTACAAGAAGAGTTTCTCTCAGATGGAAACCTGGTTTCATTAAAATCGCTCGCCAATAACCAAGGTTCATTGTTATTCATTGCAAATTTTCTCAATTCCTCCCATAGCTCTTTTCTCTTTGCAGGGTCGGGGCTAGCATATACAACTATAAAATACCAAGGCACCGCACCAACTCTACTCACATTCATAGTGATGTATTGCTTATGCTTGTGGATTGTGTTCACTGTAACTAAAACCGATCTCCAAAACACCCATATATCTCCACTAAAACCCTCCGCATCCACACGATCATGACCTTGATAACCTAAAATCGAGGCTATATATTTTCAAAGCTTGTTCACCCCCCCTCCCCCCATGTGTGTCTCCACAAGAACTACCACATTAGGTTGATTTGTTCAAACTAGATCCTTGAGAATCGAAATGAAATTTCTGTTTCCTGCTCCTTGTACATTCCACACTAGACAAGTGATTGGAAGAGAGCCTGGTGCTAAACTTGGTTGTGTATCTTCCATAGAAATTGGTATTGAGGGAAGTGTTGACACATAAGCTTGGCTTATCAACCTTAATTTCACTATCACCACGTACGGTTGTTCCATAGGTTGCCCCACGCATAATGTCTTCTCTGGTGGAATTCTTAAAGTTATCGGGGAAGGTCGAGGATACATGAGTGCACTCCAATTTCTGACTTGCTATAGCTTGTGATTGCTTGTTGATAGCTTCTATGGTCGAATCTATGGCAATGAGACTAGCCTGTGGGTTTGCATGGAAGGAAAAGATTGAATTTTCTTTGCCTGTAGGGACTTCTGCTTGCTTTCCTTGAATAACTAAGGGAATATAAGAATTAATTTCCTTAAGTGGGTCAGATATGATTTGGCTCGAGGAAAGTCGCTTCTCTTGATAAATCATAGAGATCTTCTTAGGGCCACTAGCCTTTGATTGACTAGTTTTTTGGGTAACAATCTTTTTCAATGATAAGTTTTCCTTAATTTCGATATATTTTGCTCCAAATTTTCCAGCTCAAATATTCCCTTATTATTTCCTTGATTATCTTGTGAAGAATCTCCCAGGTCAACAATATCCTTATTAATCTCCCTTGAGATCTCACTGTTGGTAACTTCTAGCTGGTTTTTTTACGAGCATCCATGATCCAAAGTTCTCAGTCTCCTATGGCTTAGCAGCTTGATGAAATAGAGGATTCTCTTCCATTCTCACATTATTGTCACTATCAATAGATTCTTGTGACTTGCAATCATTTTCCACATGACCTAACTTTCCACACTTGAAGCACACCATACGAATGCCTCCAAATTCTTCCCTTGAGCCAGAATTTGACAACAACGGCTTAGACAAATTAATATCAACACTAAGCCTTGTAAATTGTCCACGTTCTGCTTGCGCTGTGTTCTTATCCATCCTTAAGACCTTACCAATTTTCGAGCCAATTTTATTTAGAAAATTGATGTCAAAATATTCTATGGGTAAGTTTGGGATCCTTACCTTGGCAGTGAGGACCTTGATAGGTGATTCATCCGAAACAAGGTTGGGGATCCATTTCCGTATGGTCAAATAATTGTCATCTAGCAGCCATGGCCCTTGTGTAAGCACATAACTATAATCAACTTGATTTGTGAATCGAGCTATATAGTAATTGCATCCAATATCAGTCAATGAGAGTTCTCCTCTATCATTCCACTTCTTCTTGAGTCTACACATTAGCCCTATGTAACCCAGTTTGGCGCTAAACATCTTGATTATTAAGGATGTTTTCCATGGTTGCCTAAGTCTCTTTTTCTCCTCCTTGGTTAACTTGATGATAAGGCACCTATCATCATTCAAGATCTCCTCTGGTATTGCTTCATCATCAGAAATATCGTCCTCTTCATCATCCTCGATGTTAACCAAAGAATGGCTTGGCTGCTGGGAATTGCTACCTCTACAACTTCCAGCATTCCTTACACTTTGCCCTACAACTTCTGCATCAATATTCATATGGCTTTGTTTAGTCTCTGCCATGATTTCATCTTCTTTATCATTATGATTGAAAATGAATTGCGTAATTTTTCTTTTTGGTTTTTTATTAGATTGATCCAGTTGATCTCTTTCCTCTCTTGTTTTTCCATTTTCGCTCAGAGTCGCACTCGCAGGGTTTTTCTCCATTCTCTTTCTTTTAGATGTGCTGACTTTATGAATATTATATGACAAAACAATGATAGCAATGATAAATATATGTTCTCCGCACGAAGTTCAACCATTAAAAGAAAGTGACATTCAAATGATATTCAGATTGATGTGGGACAGAGTTACAGAGGATTTAAATTCTTTGTCAATACAAATAGTCAAATTTCCTCCTCTTACTACTCATTTTGCTCTTTTACACGCCACTATGAAAGGAGGGTTGGATGAGATAAACTGATTTATTGTTACAATGACTCTTAATTCCATACCAGATTTGACTAACAGTCATTATCAGCTGATATTAAGACCGCATTGAAAAATGGTCTTCTAGAAGACTAACCCAACCAAAGGTCTAAATTGATAATTTAAGCCTAAAATTGGTTTTTACTGTAATAATCTACTCCATTTTTTAAATGCATCAGTTTGACTTTTGCACTATTCACATACCATGTTTAACATAATTTTTTTTGCTATTATAAAATACATAATGTTATTATATAATATATCATTAGATTCGTCATAATGTCTACTTTCATAATATAATTTTTGTCACAATTTTTACTTATAAACAATTTAAGATATTAATGGTCAAAGTTACGTAACTATAGCTTTTCTAAGCTAGGTTTTTTAGGTGTATTTTAACAGACTTTTAGAAGTTCTCTAGAGTTTTCAAGACTAAATATATTCAGCTCTCTCTCAAATCAACTATCTAAGTAATAACAAGATTGACCACTGATTCTTTGTCTTAACATTTAACAAAAGGTAACTGTTTATTTATCGACAGTCTTTGGGCATAATGACTCGGTTATAAGCTACCACACTCAAAACTTTACCAGCTAAATTAGCTAATAATCATAGGAGGTGGACTATGCGTTATGTGTATAACACTAAGAGATATATATTGTTATCTTAAACTTATTCAATAGATCGATTTGAATGACAATTAGCCATAGTTAAAACATTATGAAATCCTTCTCCACATTAAACTCATTGCATGTAGGAAGTGAAAAATAAAAATTACATAATAGTACTTCATAATTTATTTCTCTTAGTTTGCCAAACGAACATTAGAAATTTAGAATCACCTAATGCTATAAAAATTAACCAATATAAGGTAGTCCTAATTTCTGTTTACTATTAATCTGCTAAATCCTAGGATATTAGTGTATATTTAGTTAAAAGAGAGGGATTACTTTTAACATACATAGAGCCACTGACTTATTAAAAACATACTAATAATAGGTGATGAAAGAACCTGCATTTGCTTCCTTTCTTCCTTGACAAAATGCTAAATTTTCGATGATCGAATGGCTTCCTTCCATTAAGGTTTATTAGCAAGAGTACATCAGCATTTGTCCATGTAATTAGCGAAAGCTTAGCCTTTCTATACACAAAGCTTTGCTTCCGTTAATTTCCCTTTCTTTCTTTTTCTAAACCATTTTCATTTATTATTGTACGATATTCTATCTAGTATTGGCAAAGGAGAGGGGAAAAAAAGAAGAAAAAAAAAGAAAGACATATCTATAAGCTAAATAAAAAAATTTCTTTGCCCCTACAAAAAAAATAATCAAATTCAAAATATTTTCTTCTAATTGTTTGATTACATCAAATCTTTAGTTTATTGGCTAATTTTCAAGGTATATCTTAAAGGTTTGAGTCTCTTTTTATCATATTCTTAATCTTCTTTCTTATATAAAATAAGATTATGATCATTTGTAGATGGTCGTCGTACAGCTGAACCAATCATATATTAGATGATAAGATCAAAATATGAGTAGCCAATGTTCATCTAAATTATCCGAAACTGATGATTTTATCTTTGATTTACTCCTTGTTTTTTCAGTTGGCTATATTATGTGGGCAATGGACACGGAAGATTAGGAAGAAAAATAAATTTTACCAAAAAAAAGTAACATTTTTCCTAGGTTATGAGCATAAAAATGAAGGGCCTATTGAAGGGCCTCAGATATATTTCCCAGATATTTGGTATGTCTATCATCTCACCTCTAAGAAATAACTTAAATTGGTTATTTTTACGATCATTTTAGGATCTAAATTACGACGATTAACGAGATCTTATGGATTGATTTGATTAATTAGAGGAAGAGGAGGATGACAAGGAGATGCAAATAGGTTTTCCCACGGATGTAAAGCATGTAGCTCATATTGGATGGGATGGTCCATCTGTTAACTCACCAAGTTGGGTATGTTTTAGGTTTAACCCTAATTTTCTTCTACTACCTCGTTTCTTATTATTTGCAACAAAGGGTTATTATTTGTGAGACATACTCCTTTATTGAAAATAATAAGAAAGTGGTAGTATAATTTCATCACTTCGAAATTTAATTCTATTCTAAGAGTAAAGTTTATTTATTTTCTTTTAAACTAAGCCATTGATGTATTTGGTTGTTAGATGAATGAGTTCAAAGCCCAGGGAGCAGGAAATCCAACAGATCCATTACAAAATGGAGCTGAAGACGTCAACCCGCCGGTTTCACAAGGTATTAACCATTCTTGACCATTTTATAGGCGATGAATAATCCGTTTCATAGCATGTCACATTTGGGTCAAGTCATATCCTTTTTTGTTTTGTTTTTAACAAGATTCGAGTCATTAATAAGTAAAACGATAATTAGTTTATTAAGATGAAAAAACTCGTTAGAACTAGTACAAAATTAGCTTATTACTATTGTGGATAAGATCGATATAATTGCTTTGATGATTTGGAGCTTGGATTGAATCATCGGGTACTATAGTTGAGTTTACTAGGTCTAGGATTGACGTACAAAATTCCCATAGAGGGTTATGTTCTATTGAGGTTATGTTCTATTGATTTCTTATTCCTCACCATAGTGTGTGGTATTGTTTCCCATTATTCTTACTTAATCGTGTATTTGGCTGCATTGTTTGATTTAACTTTTTACAGAATCATCTCCCAAGAGAAGTTCTGTCAGAGAATCTCCAGCGCGGGACATGCCAGGTTTGCCAAAGTCATCAAGACGGCAACCATCAATGGACAGCATTGGGTCAACAGACTCACCGATAGGGAGTCCTAATCACAAGACCAGATCCTCCAGGAGGCGCCAAAAACAAAAGGAAACCACTAGCCCCCGAGTTGGTGAATCCTCCAGCGCTCAAAGCCTTCCTAACATACCTAAGAAATCTCGACGAAAGAAATCCAAAGATGTTGACAGCTCACTCAAGTCTAGTTTGAAGCCGAAAGATAAAGGTTCCAGGCACGGATCTAGGCATGGATCAGATGATGGGTCATTGACCAAGCAGTACAATGTCGAGGCAAATTCTAGTGCGAGTTTGGCTTCGTTTAACGAAGAGGAGATGAAGGCATTGTAACCACGAAGTTTTGGGGATGTTAGAGAGCCTGTTCTCCTTAAGCAAAGGCTGGTAGTATACGTTTGCCCTAATAGGTGAATGAGAAATACCAGCAGCTAGCTTCTTAGCGAAGAATTTGGCTTCTTTTTGTTTACTTTGTTGGGTTTTTATTGGTAGAGTTCTAATTTATCAGAAACCAAGATATTGGAAAACTAAGGGAAGAAAAGAAAAAACACTTTGTTTCAGATTCCTGTAAAATCCATCATTTCCAATATTGATGGGTAGGAAGAATATACAGGAGAAAACAAGAAAATCACAAGATTCCTGTAATTTTTGCATGCATATAAAAGATCCCATACAAATTATGTGTAAAAATTTAGGTTATAGGGAGATCAGAGCTATATGCAAAGAGTTTGCAAATACACAGATAAAATGTACATAATACACTATGTTGTCGATAACACAAAACTAACATTGCAAGTTATTGTTCATAGAAGTTGAAAAATATTGATGATAAGTTTCATTATCGACTAAAAGGGACAAAAGAAGATACAAAAAAAATTCCAAGAAAGGAGTGAAAGTATGAGGCAACAACCAAAATTTTTAATTTTTTTTTTTTCTCAGTTAATTAATTTATCATTTTAATTTATGGAATGCTCTCTTTGCCTGAAATCTAGTCTAGCAAAAAGTATGAAAATTGAAAGAATATCTGCCTAATTGGAAGTTGTCACACATCTAGTTAGTCACTAGGTGAAGTAAGTGTGAAATCTTTTAGCTCGACGAGCTAAAATTTAACTGTGTCCTTTCTCAACTTCAAGTGCAAGTACTTGTGCTCTATGTGGGCTAAATTAGAATGTGAGGACAATAACTAGCAGCATAAGCATTGAGTCCAATTGTGGTTTCTCATTCTCAACAGCCATTTACAAAAAATGCAACACTCAACAAACTGCCCCCTTTGGGCACAAATTATATTGTGCAAACAATGCACAAAGCATTGTGCACCCCAGCTCCAGCATATCGAATATGAAATCACATCCTCTACTGCTGTCAACCACACGCAGGTGCATGTACTTCAGTTGGACATGGACTGCACATTCCCTTTAAATTAATATTACAACACACAAATTATCACCTATGGGGTCTATGGAAGTAAATTTTGCTTGTTCCAAGCAAACACTATGTACATTTTAAGGATTCTATCTACAGCTGTCTGAAACACGAATTATATACAGGGAGGAGGGTGGCGTTTACTTGTTCCTCGGTTTGATATTTTGTGGTATTTTGGGTGAACATATAACCTGTGCTAGTAAGTTGTCATATTGGATGCTATAGTTTCACATATATGCGCTTCATATGAAGTAAACCAGCAACAAGGCCCCAAAAAAGAATCTCAAGCAAAACAAAGGCTAAGGTCCCCCAATTCTTTGAGCTTAATAAATCTTGAAAAAATGATACTGTCCCATCAACCTGCACATGCACAACTCACCACTTTCAGGTTTTTTTCAGCAGGAAAGGAAAAAAAGAACCTCAAGAGAAGGCAACATTTTATTGGGAGGTCTACTTTTCTTTTGGAGGAAGGATAATGTTGACTTAAACATTTTATTTAGTAACCCTTTGTACTATCTCTCCCTATTCGAATAACTGGTCAGTGTTGCAACTATATTGAGGGTGCTACTAAAGTGACAAATGGCTGTCCCTGGAAATTTATATAACACGCTTTCTCTTCATCCTCTCCTTTAGAGAGGATCAAAGAATACAAGATAGGGGATGGTCATCAGTTATCAAATTCATTTTGGGAAGATGTTTAGAGAGGATCAGAGAAGAGCAAAGTTGTGTGATTTCCTCGATTAGGTTGTTTCTCTTCTCTACACAATGCCCGTGTCTAGTTATTATCTAGAAAAAGGCTAGGGATCTACATTTTCAGAGTCCACCGTCCGCAAGTAATATAGTTAATAAGAACTTTCCGCTTGAGGTTCTGAACCTTTAATTGACTGCAGTGGAGGTTTCAAAGGTGTGGACAGTGGATTCTTCGAAAACATTTGCGTGAAAAATTTCTCTGTTGGGTAATTGATTTGGAAGGAGAAAATCCCCTTAAAAATGAGGGCTTTGTGTGGACATTGCCATGGGGTAGGATAAATACTAATGACATGCTCCTAAGGTAGGTAAGGGCTGGTCTGGTTATTTCACCAAATGAATGTTTGTTGTATTGGGATACTAGTGAGTCTTGTTCATATGTTTCCCTTCACTATGAAATGGCAAGTTAAGTGACTGTTTGATTTGCAGCAAGAATCTCAGGCTTGGCCTTTAGTGTTGAAGAATGTAGTACAAGTTTGTTGATGGGGTTTAGTAAAGATAAGAGACAGAAGCTGTTGTGGGCCTTGTGGCACAATGCTTTTATGGAAATTTTGTGGCGTTAGTGGTTGGAGTGATATCCCCATGTCTTTAGTTGAACATCCTCATTCAATTGGGGCGGTTAAAAGAAATTGGCATGTTCTGTTTCCTCGTTTACTATTTTCAGCTGATTACATATTCTTGTCAATGAGAAAAAATAAAAAAGATACCACTCCTATCGGGTATAAAGCCCAATATAGACAGTACTCAGGTAGACATGTACTCCGCATGCAAACTTGCCCTAATTAGTAAAAACTACTTCAGGGCCATTAATTTATTAATATTTGAGGCACCACTTAATGCATAGTATAAGTATGAAAATATATACTTGTAAAAAGAAGGTAAGTTACCAAGTTGTTTTCAGGTGACCCCCAATAGAATCCTTGCAAGGCAATTGAAAATATCTCACAAGCAGCCAGAGCATAAATTAGAAGAGCATTCATCCCCATCCATTGCAATAATAAGACAGGCTTCTTAATATGTTTGACATCAACCTGAAAGGTAGGCATGGGAAGTATCTATAACAGAACTTGTATGACAGACCCTCTTAAATCAAACAAAAAAAAGGTCTTGACAGAGAGAAATATTAACAGGTCTGTTTCCATTTGTTCAATACTGTCAATCTTATAAATATTCTAAGCTTAAAAATTGTGTAAAACAGAAGGGACGGTAAAAAAAAGGGGGGGGGGGAGGAGGTAAAGGAGAAAAATAGAGAACACATGATTTTATCCATTTTTGGTTTAGGTCAAAAATTAAGCCAATACAATAGCACATTTTTTATGAAGGAATTCTGTGAGAAACATAACACGGTTGACATGTGGGAACTGTTATGTGGGATAAATAACTTACTAGGTAAAAGATGATGGTGAAGATGACGCCTGAAGCACCAGCTGTGATACACATATAGCTTACCGTGTAAAGTGGTTTAGAGAGCGGCATCCCTGGAAAAAATAGCACATTACAGGTCCCAAAGTAATTTACAATAAGGAAATGCTATGGTCACTCCTCTCAAACTGTGCCCATCTAAGGTCCAGACTAGTATTTTATAATTATTATGTATGTGTAGAACATTGTGCTTATCTGATCTCAAAAAGTAATTTGTTTTTCTGGGATAAAATTGTTGATGAACAACATAGGAGCAGACATGGGGGTAAGGTGAATGACCATAGCATTCTGATTGTTGAGTTTATACATAATGTAGATACAAAGGAAAACATACCTAAAATCAGCAAAACATAACCTAAGATTAAAAGAGAGAAAGCAGATACAGACCACAAGAATATCCTCTGCCAGTGATCCTATAGCAATGAAACATAAAACATGAGATATAACATGAAAAAAATTGGCTATCATCTTCTTCTCCCTAAATTTAAACGTGAGAAGTATTAAACCTTGAAGTGTGCAATTATTTGTCCAAAGTGCAATCCCACAAAACATGTAACAGCAGCCATTAATGAGCTGGACCTCGTTGATAAGAAGCAAGTCAACATCAGAAATCGAGGAAATCCTAACTCTAATAAGCTGCAAATAATATCTATAAGGATCAACAGAGTAAGCACTCATGTGACTTATGTGAGTGTTGCAAGCAGAGTCCCTCAAATGGCTCAGCATATCCATAATGTTTATGAAGTGATGAATACTTGCAAGAAGTACTGTAAATGCATCAGCCAAAGCTGAACATATTGAGCCAGTGAGCCACACTGAATGCATCAAAAGAGTACCGACAGAAAATGGAATTTCAAGAAGGTTTTGCTTCATTGCGGCTGACTTATACAGCATACAATAGAACTTAATACTTATGCAACAATAGAACGTAGAAGAAAAAGAGGAGAAAAAGATGGGAAAAGAGAACATTGAAAAGTATTGAAGCTGCTAAACCCTCACAGGGGGGTGGGGGAGTTAATAAAATATAGCACTGTTCTTTGGCCACAGAGTGAAGTTAAAATAGAGATGTGAGGGAAGGGCCACTGAAATAGCCTTTTACAGTACGCTTCAATGATGGAAGCTCCAGAGATGAGTTTTCCGATGGGATGCCTAATAAAGATGTTTTTTTATGCCTTGTGCAATGTCCTCCCAGAAAAGAGGAATGGAAGCAGTAAAATCTTTCCATACAAAATTGAAGCTCATAGAAGGCTGTGATCGGCAGTCTTATGAGTGTTTCTATCTTGTCCTCCATTCTTTCAGGATATGATAGCAGCTAATTCACGCGGAATTTAAAAAAAAAAATCTTCCGTTATATTTCCTTGCAAGAGTTGTTATGAGGAATATTTTTCTTGGGGCGAGGGAGGGAAGTGTGGGGGAGATACCTTAATATGCCTTCTGGATCAAAAGGAGCAAGGCACCATCCAGGTGAATTGGCTGGCAAAGGTCCATAGTCAGGAGAATTTACACTACATTCCTATAACAACAATTATTTATCATTTAATTAACCATAGAGGAAATCAAAAACAGAAGAAAATATTAGTATAAGAGAAAAGACCTTCGCTCTTTGGTACACAGGACGCTGGTACAAATGGTTTTCACCAAGCAAAAGTCTGTCAATGAAGCCAACAGAATTGCAAGGCGGATCAAGACTACCCCTTACTTCACATTGAACCTATTTTGCAAGCTTGAGATGTTATGCATAGTTTAAAGACATGAAAAGCATGCATAATCGACACCTTTTGAACTCCCTTCAAATTGATAATTACAGCAATTTCTTTTTCTGTCAAGCCAAGCTATGTGGATGGGAGCGGAAAAGCTTGCCTACTAATGGACTTAGTGATCAAGATATTTCAACATCAGGACATTCAGACCACCAACAAATTCTCAATCATATATAAAGTGAGAATGATACAACAAATACAAAATTTACAAGGTTTATAAACACATTCAGAAGTGATTCCTCAAGTAAAGCAAGAATAACTTTACTTATCAGAAACTTTAGCACCCGATTATTAGAGTGGACAAGTATTCCATGTCTGGTTGTTATGTAGGTATAGTAGGCTAATTGCACATTCAAAGATGGTACACATCATACTCTATGAATTTTGGGCCTTTGGTAGACTGATCAGCTTAAATAGAATAGCTTTGTTCACTGGACAAAACACGAATTATTTCGGCATTATACACTTAGGCCCTGTTCTTTTGAGCTAAGCTGAGTTGAACTGAACTTAGTTGAGCTGAACTGAATTGAAAATACGCCCAAAAGAACAAGGCCTTAATGTGTAAGATAAATCAAAGTTATAATAACAACCACAGGATTAAACTGGCACTATAGTAGCCAATATTGGATTGAATATCCCTTACTGCTAAATTCTGTTGTTGAGCCTTTCCCGTGAGGCTGTGTGGCACTTATTTATAAGCATATGCTAACCTCATTGCATCAACTTTGCTCCACATTCCTAATGTGGGTTTATAGA